TTTCGAAATCTTCCCACTCTGAAGGCTGAATAAAAAAAAGATCGTTTACAGACCCCCGAAACGCCGGCTTCGTATGGATGAGAGGCTGGTTTGGTGAAACATTTGTGTGTTTAGGCCAGGGTTCGTCTTCGTGTGGACGGGGCCAAAGTCTTTAAATTCTGAGTTAACACAAAATAGCTCTGAAGATGTTCAAAGTCAAAGTAGTGTCAGAGAGAAACAATTAGATCACTTTGTAAAGTCAAGCAGTTTAACATTTTGCAAAGGACAGCTATGCAACCCCTACTCTGTTTCCCATTCCATTGACCGAGCATCAAGTGCCAAAGTTCACAGCTTGAAAAGCTCTAAAGAGAATCAGTCTCCCTTGTCATCAAAGGTTAGCTCAAAATTCCCCACCAATTTACGAGCAGAACCACCTTCCTGATGGGCCAGGGCAACCGAGTGACTACAGTATTCAACAAATTGAATCCTTGGCCAAAGACAATGTCATTTTTGACCCACTAACCCTAACCCTAACATAACTGAATATTTGCAAGAAGTTGAGCACTGTCTAAAATACTTGCCATTTCCTTCTTCTCGTGAGAAATTAAAGCTGATTTGGAAAACAACAGCTAGAAGCGTCCATGTTTTCATAAAATCTCTTCATCCAAAAATCAGAGAAAGTTATTCAGTTCTTTGTCAAACCTTAAGAGAAGAATATTCTGGTTACAGAGAACCGACATTAGCAAAGCTCGAGGTGTCTTAAGTTCTCCAAGGAGAACATGATACACCTAGAGAATATTACTTTTTGAGACGAAGAAGATCACACATTTAAAGCATTGTTAATTCAACATCTACATAAAAGTGTACGATATGATGTAGCAATGCATTGCAGGATAGAGAACCTTTCTATGCAGGAAACTTGCAGATATGCTTAGCTTGTTTGGGAAATACGTCTCAAATCAGATAGATTTCAAAGCAAGCTTAGAATCTTAAACCTTCAAACAAAGAACAGGACCAGAAACAGACACAGATTCAGTTCCCCAGTGGTTCACCAAGATGAAGGAATTAATGACTTGAGAGAACGAAAACCAGAACCCCCAGATGAACGTCATAAATCTTCACATTACAATGCAAAACCAAAGGTTGACACCGGTAAAGGGGGACATCAACAAGCTGCAGAAACAACCACAAAAGAAAACTTAGAACAGATCTACAAAACAGTTCTTAGAGAGCTACTGGCTTCTCTGACCAATCACAAAGTACTACATTTCCAAGGTAATGGTAAAACTTATCATTTCCAACAGTATGATAGTTGCTGATAATTTCTAACTTTAACCTGTTTTATCCTTTCTTTCTTTTGTTTCACAACTTGAGAAATGATGAAGGTTGAACAAC